ATCTATCCGTGTGCTCTAGATTGCCTCCACTGCTTCCCCACAGACAAATCCCAGGCCAGTGACCAGAAAAAGAAGTTCTTTGCATCAGTCATTAGCCAATAGTCCCCAAACGTTGAGCACATATCTTGCATGACTAGTGCTAGGATCGTGTGACAGATGAGGTAACGTATTTGTCACTGAAACCGCATCCATAGTCGTTATCCCCATTGAGGTAATGATCAATTAATTTAATCAGGTAGAAACTGCACTCCAGTATGGGTGACAAGATAAATTTCAATGGGAGTTGAATTTTCACCTAAATTTCTCGCTATTATGCCATATTATTTAATTAACAATAAATAAATTTATCTATAATTGTGTTTTGATCACAATATGAGTTGTTTTCACCCTATTTAGTTTAAAGGGATGAAGGACTGGTAGTTGAATTTTCCCACAATGATGAGTGGAGTTGATGTTTTTCATTGAATTTCACAAAAAGGTTTTCTCATTCAGAGTAGACTGCAGTTTCGACCTCACATAGGTCTTATCAACATCCCAAGCGGGAGTCGAATCATGATAGTGCAGCGTGTCGGCTCGACACGATGACCACTACGCCACATTGCAACAAGTGCCCTTGGGCCACAGGGCAGAAGTGGATTTCCAGGAATGTTAGGCATTTTCCATATCACATTCTATTTTGGGATTGTCGATGAAGCAAACTTATATTTGCTGTAGCAATCGACGACATTACTTTTTTGTGAGTCAGTAGGTTATCGAGACTACCAGTAAATCATATATATAGGTTGTTTTAATCACAATTATTTAATTTAAATTTCCTGTGCAACTGGAAAAATTTGAGGATGAAATTGCAGGTGGCAGTGACCATCAGGCTATCTTTTTTAGTGTCTTAATATTTGTTCGTTCATTAACACAACTTACGCAGCTTTATTTACATAGTATGCTGGTTCGATCTTGTTCTCGTAACCTGGTCGGAGGGTCAGCGATACCTTGTGGAACGTACCTAGTCCTGTGCCCTCTGCCATAGTTATCGTGATTTCCAGCATTCCACCATTGGCTGGGTACATTTCAGCATTTTTTATTGTCAACCTGATCAATCATTCAATAACGCAGGACCAGCAGTTTTTGCATAGTACATGTATGGGAAGTACTGGCCTAGAAGCCACATTTGTCTTCAGCCACACAGTCTCTGAGCTTGGATCCCGCTTAAGGGCTTACCCAACTCGGGAGAGCCTAAAGCCATTAGGATATGTGGAAGCCTTCTGAAGCCACTGTAAACGGCGATCATGAACGCAATTTGCGTCATATGAATATACATAATTAAGTGACAAACTCAGGCCTCATCTTTGCTTAATCGTCGATGAGGTCATTACTAGGGTAGAGCCAAACGATTATTACCTATGAAACATTATACAGTTAATCTATTGCAAGCTGACCAATTATTGTTTAGACCTCGAAAATCTACTCAAACGAAAAATATTTATATCTCTCTGCTGTCCATCTTGACTCCACAACACCAGGGATTATAGGACCTCAAACCTTAACTTAAATGAAAAGAAGCTGGTTTGCGAAGAATCCCTTAATAAATTCAAGTTCTTGTATCTTTCATTAAATTTGGAACGGCTGGTAGAATGAATTTGTTAATTGGCCTCATCGGTAGTGATCAAACATGCCCAATAGCGTTTACAATTTAGCTTACTGTTTTCATTTTATCTTCTATCGGGTAGACTTTCTTTAATATCCTCACTCACTGGGCAGGTGAAAGGGACATTAATTCGAACAAGCTTATGATAGAAGTTGTTTGCCTATCAGTGTTCATATGTATTTAGCAATTGTTGAAATAAGTTTAGGGTGCCCAACAGATGGTATCTATAGCGTCACCGCTTGGAGAAAGACGTTTCTGGGACCTGATTTACGCTTCAAAAGTTGCAGAAGTGCCGCACAAGAGGTGGTCCGCTCTTTGCCTCCGTCTGTCGGAGATAAAGACAGAGCAGACGACGGAAGTTGTTGACACCAAAGACTTCACACGAACACACAATTAATATTCAAAATATAGTTGTAAGCGGTAACTCATACCGGCCCTATTGCTAAAAACACATTTACTCTAACCAGGTGTCAATAGACATCTTATGCTCTAACTTATGAGCTATCCATTATGAAATTGTGTCTTAGGCATTTAGTAATATCCTAACCCGAATATGGCAGGCTAAATCACTATGTGTAGAACATCTTTTTTTTACTATTTTCCAACCACACACATGCTTATCGAATGTTCGGGATGCTGGTGGTACCTAGTGAAGTCATCGCAGGAAAATTAATCTATAAGACCTATTGACTAAGTTCCCATGGAAGCTCAGAATGGAAGTAGTAACGTCAAGAAGACCGCACAGCTTTGACGCCTCAGTAAAATGAAATTATAGTATGCTAATCGTCTTCATTTCCATTCTTCTTTGTATTTGATTATCTCCTTGACTTTTTAGAGTTTTCCCTCATTAAACTTGACCCGAATTTTTCTCCAACAAAAAATTCAGCCTTTTTAGTCTATAACCTATCCCGTCAGTGGAGTTTGCTTGATTTAATCATTTTTCCTCCCTTTAAAGCATTCCATTCGTCATTTCTCCCATTATCATTACCATCTGCAGCCAGCCAAGCCCGGAAACAGCGTCGAGAACGCACCACTTTTACGCGTCAGCAACTGACAATGTTGGAAGACCTTTTCACGCGGACTCGTTATCCTGATGTTTACGTTCGTGAGGAACTGGCTCTCAAGCTGCGACTGCCCGAGTCCCGAGTGCAAGTATGGTTCAAGAACCGACGCGCCAAAGGACGTAATCAGCAGCGCCAACGAGAAGCACTAGCCGGAGGAGGCAGTGGGCACACAGGCAATGGTAGTACCAATACTCTCGCAGGCCAGACTGGTGCAGGAGTGATTCTAGCCTGCCAGAAGAATGATTGCAGCCTGACGATCAATTAGGCCCTCCTGTCAACTCTAGCCAGAGGTTAGGAGAACATAATTAAAGATGTGAAGACCAAGATGTTGTGGCCTCGGGTATGGTCGCAGTCTCC